CATGGTCACGAAATCATGAGTAAAAGAGTTACATGAAAACAAAAACCCAGGCACGGTGAAAACCCGAAAAGGGCACCGTGAGTAAAAACAGATGAAAAGGATGGACATGGCCACAAGGTCATGGGTAAAAGAGCCCAAAAACAAATGAACTTGGTGAAAATCGTATTCACCGCGCCACTTTCCCTATTCAAGTGAAAACTTGCAAAAGGGCGCTTGGACCGATAAAACAGGTTGACGTAGCACAACAGCCACTGCCGACACACAATTGCCAAACAATCATAATTCTGACTGGCGAGGTCTACACAAAATCCTCAATTGCTCGCATCCAATCCAATTCAAACACAAAATGACTCGTTCGGGAGTGAGAGCCTCATAAAATCTCCCACACTTCACCTCCAAAAACAACAGGAGTCCTTGAGGGTGAGGATAATGATCGAAAAATCCCTCCAAAATGCTAAAAGACCATCAAGAAGGCAAGAAACTGACGAAGCCATGGCCTAACCTGCCAGAGACTTCAGGGTAATGTCTTGCCATTAGATCGCCTCACTTAAAACCTTTCTTAACCGACAGGCTCAGATTTTCGAGACAGGCTGCTAAAAAGCCCCCGACTGGACTCGACCGGATGGGGCCCATGAGGCCGCCTTGCCAAAATTTCCTCTAGCGGACATGCCCAAACTTTCAGGACAAGTCAGAAGCCCCCGAATGGACCCCGTTGGACGGGACCTACAGAGATACCCTGATCATCAAAAGCAAACCTGGTGTAGCAGCAAACAATGCCAACTAAAGGTTCATTGCACTTGGCCTCCAGATTGGTCCGATTCTGACCAATGAGGTCCCTACAAAATCCTCAAGTTGTCAAAATCACAAATAGTCCCTTGAGGGTGAGGACTTTGACAGGATCCCTCAATAGTCTCTTCTCCCCCCTAAAGTCTCCACGGGCTAACCCGTACATTGCGTCTAAACATCTGAGCACCCTAGTTACAACATTGTATGAATCTCCTCAGCATTCACGTAGTCTTGTGGTTAGCCAGGGGAAATTTCTCGAATGATTTTACTTCTCGTTTCTCTCGAAGCACAACATTCGACAGGGCATGCTGTTGGAATTTGAGGGAGTAGATACATAGTTTATTCCCGTGGATCATACATATAGGTGCTCCCATATTTAGTATTTTACACGAATAATTTGATTTTATTACAAAATAGCCAACAAACTTTGCAAATTAACCATCAAAGTCCAAAAGTTGCAAATGTATAAGATCTAAATTAGGCATCTTGCATACGTATTAGGGGTGGCAATGGACCCTGTCGGGTATAGCAGACACGAGTCCGGGTATGGGTCTAACATTTGGACTTGCGGGGGTCGGGTCTGGGTTCAAAACCTAGATCCGAACACTATCTGGGTCTGAGTCTGAGTCTAGTTGGACTGACTCGTACCGATACGTACTCGTAAACTGTTGGAGATAAAATACTTCATGCCCTATTCATTTGGGTGTATTAAAGATCATATTCAATAAGAACTCGTAGTCATCTCTAGCTATTAAACGATAAATCAGACGGCTAGAAATAAAGTAACGGGTGAAAGACAAAAAAAAAAAAAACCCACAATGAGAGGGTGGCAGTGGACTTGATTAGACCTGAGACCTGACGGGATAGACCCGGGACCCAATGAGTACAGGTATGGGTCCAACTTTTGGACTTGATGGGTTAGGTCCGGGTCCAAAACCTGGACCCGAATACTATTTTGGTCTTCGTTCGGATCCAGTCGGATCGGACCATACTTGACCCCTAATAGTTATTTCTATAAATTTTGTTTAATGATTCTGGGGACATGAGAAAAGAAAAGGAATTCCATGAAAAGGTTTATCATACACATACACATGCACATTTCGTGTGCGGTGGACATTGTCACGACTTTAAAGGAATTACGCTTCATCGAAGCCCTCTATGTTTGAGATGGAAAGTGGATATCAGCTCTTGGAGAGTATTATATACCATTTTAGAGATTTGAAGATTTGTTTCCATCATAAAAGATGAGAACAGGTGCTCGCCTCAAAATACATGAAATATACAAGTTATCCATGGTAAAATATACCAGATGCATGAAGCATGAATTAAAAACAAGAAAAATCTACTTTAATAAGTATTCTTTAGGATTCTTCTAATTAATGGATAAGGATCCGGTTTTTATGTGGCCAAGCCCACGTATATAGAAATGCCAGGTTCTTAATAAATCTATTTTTGAAATGGATTTTAAGACTTAAAATTTAAGGACAAGTAATCTCTAACATGGAGATCATGAATATGAAAAAATGAATAGATTTTAAAAATTAGAAATAACAATTTTAGTAAGCAAACAGTTGGACTGTTAGTTTCCATTGTTTTTAGATGAAACACCTACTAACATCCATCTTTAAGATCGATGCTTTACACTTTTAGGATTGTATATGTAGTAATGCGGTCCAGCCCGCATGAAACAATTTTCCAATGGATAATATTGTGGGCACTTTGTGACCGTAGGATTCGGTCAGCTCAGGTGTTTAAAAAAAAACAGTGTAGAGACGTGACATTGTGATTGGAGCAATCTTAGCCCTCCATTCACAATGGACGGTTGGATAAAGGGAAAGATAGAACTTCTATGCTGCAGGGAAAGCATAAAAACCTTTTGCAATGGGGTTAAACTACAGAGCTGTTACGGACCTTAGATTCAGGAGGAAACTGTTGGTGCTTTCCATTTACAAAATGAGCAATTTATCAGCGGACTTGTGAAGTTCCCTCAAGTACAACCCCGTGAATATGTTTTTCGTGAGATGTGAGATAACTTTTGATGAATCACATTTCATACCTCGCATTTTAACTACTCTGTTCATGCGTGTTACTGTTCTGTGAGCATCTTTTGAGATTAGTTTTAAAATAGGGATCCTTGCCCTTGGTGATGAATACCATACAGGCCATCCTTCTTCTTTTTCTAGTCCTCACTCTCATTAAATCCATGGCTTTAAGAGATCAGGGAGTTAAGTGTCCTTATTGTCTATTGAATCAAATAATCTTGGGAGGGGAAGAGAGAGAGAAAGAAAAAGGGGTGTGATGCCTTGTGTGTTGGGGAAGAGAGTGAGAGAGATGGTGGCCAAAGCCCTCTCTCCGTTTGGCCATGTGCCCTTTCTCTTTTTTACCATGTGCCCTCTCTCTCTTGGGCACATGCCATCCTTTCTTTAAACATCTTTTTTTTTTTTTAAAGATGTTTCCTCCTTTTTTTCTTTTTTTGAGTTTTTTTTCTTATTGTTTGGTACTCTAGCAAGTCCACTCAGACTCACTAACTTTATGCAGTGGCGAGTACTTGGCCCAAGGCGATTTTTAAGTACTGGCTATATTTCTTGTATGAGGTATTTTCTGTCCTCACATGGAGAAGTGATGCAATCTCTCTCTCTCTTTTAGGGCCCATTATCTATGCTTTCTTTCATTCTTTAAACATCTGTAATTTTGTGAATATGCATTTTTTTTGTTGACAATATTTTAGGGTCACTATTTTGTGAATAAGAGTGCTGAAAGTTATAAGCAGTTGATTGGTCAAAAATTAAGAACCTACGAAATTGAAAGGGAAATGGAAAGGGGGGAGGGGGAGAAAAATTTGACAACTTACAATCTCAACTATCCATTTTGTGGGAAAAGAGCTTGGGCTTAATTGGTTAACGCTTGACGATTTGTAACACTATGTCCTAGGCTCACTTTCTACCAATGGTAGGAGCTCTCTCTTTTGATTCCCCAATAAATATATATATATATCCATTTTGTAAGTACTGACATAGATGCGCTATAGCTCGAATAACTCAACCAGGTAAATTTCAACATCTAACCAATAACAGTTAAGTCTATGGTTTCCAGATTTGCAAGTCAGTAATAAGGAGAAACTCCTAGCAGCACGTTTATGCAGTTTTCACATAAATTACCAAACAAGGATTCTCAGCTTCTAGCCACTCAACTTCCACCTTTTTTCCATACTCCAAATTTCTTAAAAGCTCTTAATAATAAAAAAATTCTTTCTCAATTACTAAAACAAAACCGAGCCAACTCCTTTGTTTCTAAGGCAATCTAAAAAATCTTGCTTTTAATGATAAACTAGGTAAGCCTTATCAAAGGGTCAGCATAAACCCAAAACTTAGAAAATTTCAATGTGTTACGGCAATAGAGAAACTAGGGGTCTGAGTTATCTTTTAAAACTTTTTGACCGCTCTAGATTTATCTGTTGGGCCATTTGAACTGACCTATTTACCGATTAATACCTAGTAACCACTTTTTGCCCCATACCTGGTTAACTGTTTCAATTCGAGTTTTTCTACACTCATACATACCGTATACAAGCCCCTCATCTACTATCATACAAACAGTATACAGACCCCTCATCTACCATCATTCTCATCAACTTGCAGTGAATGATCGTGCCCATATTAGAGTGCAACATGCGACCCCAAAAAAGTCATCGCACTTGCATCCACCAGAGAGCACGCAGATGCATTGATCAGAACAACTCATGAGGAACTACTATGGGCTCAATGTTGCACATCCCACCTATAATTTCTCTATCTTAATTTTGAAAATATTTATATAAGTTTGCAATTATATACTACAGAAGTGAGGTACACTTTAAAAACCAGCAGAAACGTATTTTACAAAGTTGGAAAACATTTCAATTGTCCATCTCATCCTCGAAAGTAAGATTATAAGGAAAAACAATTTTCCTATTCTGAAAAACGATGTATCCTATAAGAAGTCATCTCAGCCATCTATTTTCAAGATTTAATTTTCAATTGTTATACTTTTATTTTATCCATGTTGTTTTTGAAATTTTTTAAAATTGTATAGTTAGGAACTTCAAATATGGATTTTCAGGCCATCCTAAGGTGTATGGCACTTAAATTACTAGGGCAGAATTCGAGGTGTGCCTTACTTGTGTAGTATGCACCTTATACAAACCTCAGCACCCATTAATTTAAGGATACAGCCAATTATAGTGAAAAGTGGGAATCAAACCTCATAATAATTTTGAGGTCACCGCTACAAAAATGGGCCTCTAATTAATATGTTGGCGTCCATAATCATTACCCTCTAAACAAATCTTTATAAATTGGAAACAATCAAATCCTGTTCGTCTGCAATTTTTACTTCCTTCACCCTCGTGGCAAAATCTTGCGAGCTCCTTCCATGGCTTCTAACGAAAGAGAGAGAGAGGCGTTACAAATGCTTCCTCCAGATCAAGAGCATCAATGTCCCTATCAATATTTGCAGGCATACCGCGTCCATATCCACAAGCAAGCCCTGCAGCATCCACCAAGCATCTCATACATTTATATGTGTATATATGCATGTATATATGAAAATGTTAAAAGGTGGTTTTATATTAAGATGAGATCCTATTTTAAAATGAGGTTGATTTACACATTCTAAGTCGCATTAAATGCATTTTTCTTTTATATCAATGAGTTTTTTAGCTGAAGAAAACTGCAGATTTGATGATATGCTAAAAAAATAAAATAATTGATGATGAACAATCCAAAAACTAAAAAAATAAAATAATTGATGATGAACAATGCAAAAACAAAGGTTAGGATGGAATTGTATACCATGAGACCATTTATCACTATTACAAGGAGGTCACGACCATCAATCCTAACCATTAGATGTCAAATTGGACGGCTTGGGGTGCGTCAGGAGGTTTGAAAAATTTTGATTTGAACTTTAATTGTAGTCAATGACATACTCACAACAACCTAATTTAAAATCTGATGGATAAGAGTGATTGTGATCTCCCCCTACTAAAAGTAGGTCTCTTGTATGTTTTTCCATTTAAAAAAACCTATTTTTACGGTTCAAATCCATTATTTTTTTTTTTTCAAATTTATATCATGGTGGTCGACGTTGTTGACCTCAATAATTTTAGGACCAAAATCCTAAATGGTCTATAGTATGAGACCATATGTAAATCGTGTATAATGAGATCACAACTTTTAGCATTCATAGGTTACGAAAGTCCCAAGACTTCATGTGTAGAATCAGACAGAATCTATGATTTCTTCACACAAACACAAAACTGAAAAGAGAATCTTAGTATCAGCAAATGGTATACGAATAATGTACAGTCGCATTGTTCGCTTTCAATTCCAATCCACTCTTCTCAAAATTGCCGGATCTCAAAAATAAAAAATTTGATTTGTAATGTATTTTTAAATATTCTTTACATTATGGTAAAGATTAAATTGCTTTGGACAATAATACTGACTTTTATATTTTCCCATCTTTTTTAGTAAATTTTAAAAATAACCCCTAGGAAAGTATAAAATTGGTTAAAATCTATTTTTTTCATTAATTTTCAACTTTGTGTTTTGTTTTAATCATTCTTTATATGCTTTTCATATTTTAGTAGATATTTTTTTTTGTATTTTTTTTCAACGTTTTTTTGACCGCCCGGGACTTGTCCAGGTAGAGCGCTTAAATCAGCCGGATTACCGGTTAGGCCGGTTAATTCGCTTCCAGGCCCATGTCCGATTAACGATTCTGGTTTGATTTTGTGAACACTGTTCCAAACTCAATACATGTGGTGGTCATCTAATAATTGAAATTTAGTGTTGTGAAGACCGGATCCGATTGGTCGAAACCTTGAAAGACACGGTTTCTATGCGACCCGCCCGCATGTTATAGAAATGCGGGCTTGGCAATAAATATATTTTTTAAACATAATTTTATCCTAATTTTTTAGAGAATATATAATCTTTAACATGGAGATTATGAATATAAAAAAATAAAAAATAAAATTAAAAACTAAAAATAATAATCATATTAAAAAAACATTTGGACCTTTAGTTACAATTTTTTTTAGATAGAACACCCATTTGCATTCATCTTTGTGAAACAATTTTCCATCCTTGAATGGCCCCTTGGTGAGTGCGGCCACGTCATGAAACTAAAATATCTTGGAATAGGTCTCCTAGACCCCGCGGTCCAACCCACGTGAAACAATTTTCCATCCTTTAATGGCACCTTGGTGAGTGCGGCCACGTCATGAAACTAAAATATCTTGGAATAGGTCTCAAAACTAGATGTTAGCTAGTCAAATTGGTCCGACCAACCAGTTTTGGCCAATTTTAAGAGCCTTTTTTTAGACAAAAAATTAGACTTTCTTGACTGGTCCAATCGCTTTTAAGAATTTTGTTTTACAAATTCCTTGGTTTACACTTTTCACCCAACACACCTAATATATGAGTAAGGTGATGATCCTTAGGTTTTAGCCTAAAAAATAGTAATGGCAATCATTGACATCATACCTAATCGACCCAATGTTTCGAAATTTTTCCGAATTTTGGCCATATTCCTCAACTTTAAATGTATCCCATGGGAACTGTACCTTGTTCTATTTCTATTCCATTATTTATTTTGCCCCATAATTTTTAATTTCTCTAGCATGATTTGGCTTGATTTTTTTGCCTCTATTAGGAACTTGTTGTATTAGATAGCAAGTATTAATCCGCTATTTCACAGCTCAAAAATTATGATATTATATTGGATCGGTAGCTGTAATTTACTAGTTTTTATATATGGGTTATGTAGTGTGCTCACACTATAGAGCATTTGATAATAGTATTAAAAAAAATTCGATGCTTATCTACCCATGTTATGTACATAGAACATTTTTTTAATAAGTATATTTTTTATCATTAGAAGGGGTGTGATATCATCTACATGAAACATTAAATGCCACTAGTGTGCTCTATGTGGGTGTTGTCACACCCCTTAAAAATAGAAGAATGATGGAGCGGGATTTATGTAGCCAAACCCAATTAATAGGGAAATGGCTATGATGATGATAATAATGGTCACTTCAAACAATCAAAGGTAAATCTCCAAGGCCACTGAGAAGAAGCATTTTTTGGTGCCATAAGCTCTTGAGTAATGATCCTATTAGACCCTCCCACACCCATGTATATAGAACCTCAAAGAATTACCATTAAATTTGGCACATATCTTTAGAAAAATCAATTCCCACACCCATGTGATAACTTTTCTACAGATTTGTGTCAAATTTAATGGTAATCCTTTAGGATCCTACACACATGGTTGTGGGATGGTCTCATAGGATCATTACTCATTGAGTAGGTGTAAAAGAATTAAAATCTTAAAAATGGAAAACATCAAGAAATGTATTACAAGATACATTGCTTTCAATACTTGAAATCCCTTTTTTTTATATCTATATGGGAAATTTATCAAATTCTCCATAAGAGATGAACAAGTTCAAAATTTACCCACATCTTTTAATTTAATTTCCAAATAACCATGAAAAAGCACAAGGCCTTGAGTTGGAATAGTTGAACATAGGAGAAATGTTATATAATTCATATCCTATCGGTATTTTGATAAATTTTCCTATTTGTATTTTTTGAAGTCAAGATGATCAATATGAGGGTTCTTCAACATCGGAATAGCCTTTTATCTATTGAGCTTTTGAAATTTGCCTTCTTTTTGTTAGAGTGATACTATATAAACTTTTGAGAAAATTACATAAAAGTCCATTATATTTTACGTTGTTACTAATATACCAAATACTCATGTATGTCCGTTTTTTACCTTTTATAACGTAATTTTTTAAAAAATACCACTTTACCTTTTTTCGGATGTTGAACATCCGAATTGGTGGGATTTTCAAATGTTCATCATCCGAAAATAAGCCTAGAGTTAAACGTTAAATTTCCTAATTTCGGATGCTGAACATCCGAAATTAAGGAATTTTCGTATGTTCAACATCCGAAAGTACCCCGATAGTATAATATTTTCGGATGTTGAACATCCGAATTTAAAAGATTTTCGGATGTTCAACATCCGGAAACATAGAAGACGAAGGTTTATTTAACTATCAGGGTCATCCGAAAATCTCTTAAATTCGGATGTTCAGTATCCAAAAATGTTATACGTAACGTTCAATAATCAGGGTATTTTCGGATGTTGAATATCCGAAAATCTCTTAATTTCGAATGTTCAACATCAAAAAATAGGAAAGTTAATATTTAACTTTTGGCTTATTTTCGGATGTTGAACATCCGAAAAAAGGTAAAATGGTCTTTTTAAAAACTTATGTTACAAAAGATAAAAAACGGACATACATATAATAACGAAAAGTGTTTGATATATCTATAATACCACAAAATATAACGGATTTTTATATAATTTTTTCTAAACTTTTTTGTGAAAAAAAAAAAAACCTCGTCTACCGTAACAAATCACATCAACATGGATAGACCTTCCTCTCCCAAAGTACAGCAACCGTCCGTAGTGAAAATAAGGAGGGTTGATGTGACGTGTGGTTTAGTGTATGTACCGTGGCAAGATACCTTGGTCAATACCACTCAAGGCGGTCCATCAATTTTTCATAAAGGAATTATATAGTATCATACTATTTAATTTTGGTACAAAGAGGTTATAATTATTTTTGACATATGGATGTGAAATCCAAAAAGTTAAAATTGTGCAACATAATTTGACAAATTTAAATTTGAATTTGGTGTTTAGCCAGTGACACAACCCAACCACCAGATTATATGTCTAATGGTTAATAGTGAATATGACTTCCTTCCATAAAAAGTAAAAAGAGAAAAGTTTATATAGAGCCGAGGCTCTAAACAATTAAATTTGAGCCTATTTCCAAAATTTCATTAGAAAAGATTGTTCGGCCAAAATATCTTCAAATTGGTCATCTTGACATCAAGATGCATGGACATGAAAAAAAATAGATTGCAAGTTTTAGAAATAGTGTATTTTGTATCGTATTTTTTGGATCGTTAATTTTCAAGATTTTCAAGTTTTCATAGATATGTCAATCTATACTATTTTTGAAGCTTTAAACTTCATAAATAATATGAAACTATATTTTAAGGCTATCACAAAGATTTTCGATATTAAAACCACATTTCGCGACACTATTTGAAGGTAGGCTCTAATTTGATTTTGGAGCCTAGTTTTGTATATACAAACCGCACCCAAAGTAAAATACCTTCTCATAAAATAACGTGATTAGAAAGGAAAATTCTTTCATGCATGCTAGACCGTATTTCTATATATACCCTCCTTCGCGGTCTTTCTATATATGTGGCTCACGGTAAGGCATCCATCTTAAAAATGAATACTATTTTATATTCATGATCTCCATGTTAGAGATTACATGTTTTTAAAACTTAAGTCCTATAATTTATTTCAATAATAGATTTATTAACAAGCCTGCATTCTACGTATGCGGGCTTGGCCGCATAAAACGAGGTCCGAGCAGAAAAGGGCATAGGAAACAACGAGGTCCAACTAGAAAAGGGCAGAGGAAACAACTCACCTTTGCCGATGAAATGGTGAACGACGCCGTGGATGTGGAAGAACTTGAGGTATGATCGGCTCCATCTCCTCGGAGCGGAGGAGCCGCATCTCCTAGGTTCGGATCGGCCCTCGATCCTAGGCCGAGGTCATAAGCCGGCGTCCCATCTGGCTTAAACAGGCCGTAATTCCTCTCAGATCCGGGACCGGGCTTCATGTTCTCATTAAATAACGCAAAAACGTAAACATCTGGCGCGTTATTGGGCTTCAAAGGCGTGCCCTTCCCCTTGGCCAAGAGTTGAAACAAATTCCCGTTATAATGACGGGCGTTATCAGGCGTGGCTCCAGCTTCATCGGTGTCGCCCTTGGATGGCCATCCCGTCTCCGACACCTTCAATTCGACACTCCCGTGTCCGAGTCTCGCCATGGCTGATCTCGCTGCGTCAATCTGAGCAAAGAGCATGTTATCGTAATGGAGGCCAGAGCCTGGGTCCTTCATGCCCTGGTTTTCTTCAAATAAAACGTATTCTAAAGGGACTTGTTTAGGGTTAGCTTTGTAGGCGAAGTAAGGGTAAGCATTGATCAAAAATGGCGATCTGGTCTTCGAGTGAAAATCAAGCAATGGGGTTATGAATTCAGAGAGATCTTCTCTGAAAGCTCCATTAGAGGGAGGGTAAGATGATGCTAAAATGGCCAAGGAATGAGCGGTCGAGATCGTGACCTGTTTGTCGAGACCTAGGGTTTGCAGAGCTTGATGGACGCTTTGCATAGCAGGGAGGAGGTTCGCCATTAAGACACTGTCATTCCCCGTTAAAATCTCGTTTCCAACCGTTATGCAAGTGATTTTAGTTGAAGGAAAGTAAGCTTGGACGTTATCTTTAACCCAGGCTAAAGATTTAGCTTGATTTGTCATTTTTGGCAGGAATTCGTTGTCTAAGCCGATAATGAACTCAATGTGTGTGTTTGCGAATGCGTGAAGAACTCTAGGATCTGCGTCATAAAGCTTCACTTTGTTAATACCGATTGACTGGAGGAGTTTGGCTACATCTGATGGAGAAGGAAGGTCATTAGCGATTTGGCCATAATTCACACCGACTGGAAAACTGATCACCGGAAAAATTGGGCCTGCAATTCAGATCAGGGTCAAAATTTTAGCAAGAAAATGTAGAACAAAAATAAAAACAGAGGAATTAGAAGAATTAAGAGAAAGAAGAATGGCATTTACTGATCATAAAGTAAAAAATGTTTCCACGAAGATCGCATGCGATTTCGGGCAAAAATGACCGGCAAAGAACTCTAGAAAGGACTGAGATTTCTTTCCGACCAAAATTGCGAGCCTACCGACAAGGATTTTCCGGCCAATACAACACTATAAAAGCCAGATACTCGCCGGAAGAAAGAAATGCCTCATAAAAGGAACATTTTCTAGCCAAAATGAAGAGCTTTCAATGCAATTCAGGGCAGAAACGTCCCCAAGAATGCTGAGAAAACAAAGTTCAAAGAAGCATAAATAGCATGAGATCAAAATAACAAGAAGTAGTGTAACAGATGCAATTAATGAAGAGAACTTACCAGTGGACAATAGGAAGAAAAGAAGGAGGAAAAAATGAGAAAGAGCAGCACATTTGGAGGTGAAGGCCATGGTTTGGGTTGGCTTCAGAGTGAAGCCAGTGGCAACTGGCAACAACAGGAGAGTGAGAAGCATGATGCCCTGCCGTTTTTAAAAGTTGACGCCTCTGGTGGTGTCAAGGCGTCAAACTCCGATGCGTTTCGTTTCGAATCTCGACGCCTCAATATGCGGGTCCCGCCTTACCAGTCTTTTACAGGGGAAATATGAAAAAGGATTCGTTTTCGAACTGTTGGTTTCTCGATTGTGGCTCCCACACACCGAACCGACCTACTAAATCTTCCGTATTTTTTATTATTAAATACTAATCGGGGTTTTTGATTCATGGACTTTGTTTTTATCTTCTTTTCTTTTTCTTTTTTTTTTTAAAAAAATTTATATAAGCTGATGGCGATTGGGTCCGGATCTGTAGATCCGTATCAGGATCCGAATAATATATCTTGGATTTGAATTTAAATAGTATACATCAGATTAAGATTTGATCGGGTCTTGGATTTTGGATACGAATAATACATCTTATCTAGATCTAGATATGGATCTGCATCCAGAAAACTATATATAAATTTTTAAAAAATTATATATAAAATAGAAATATCTTATTTAAAATAAATTGTGTTGGATCCGGATCCAGATCAGGATCCGAGTGGGATGCAGACTGGATCCACCTGCACCTACATTCGAATCTCATTTTAGACATGACTTTTTCGGTCCGGATCCTGATTTCTATTCTAAATTTGGGGCCCACACCCAGATCCGAATAGGGTGTGAATTCCGGGTTTCGGATTTGAATCGAGTCAATTCTCACCCTTATAAACAATCAAATTAGGGTGCATCTCAAAAATTTCGCTAGAAGAGGTTGTTTTGATGTTCAAATATCCTTAAATTGAGCGTCTTGACCTCAATATGTGTGGACAAGAGAGAAAAAAAGATTTCAAATTTTGGAATAATACATCTTGGAATACATTTTTTGGACCGTCAAGTTTTTAGATTTTTAGGTTTTTATTGATCTGCTTGATCTACACTACTTTTTAAGCTTTAAAATTTATAATTAGAGTAAAAAATAATTTGAGATTATTATAAATATAATTTGAAATTATTATAAAGATTTCCAATATTGAAACCACATTTCTCGATACTATTTGAAGGTGCGTTTTATTTTGATTGTTTAGAGCCTCAGCTCTATACAAACTGCACCCTTTTGTTTTGTTTTTTTCTTTTTCTTTTTGGATGTCCTCATGTTTTTGGGGACCAATTAAATCTTTTAAAAGTGTAAATTAAAAAAAAAAAAAAATTGACATGATTATAAACTTTAGTTGAAAACGTGGTTATTATCATCGTTTTTGTTTGTTGGGAAAGGCGATAAAGCTTACAGACCAACCAAAAGAAAAAGTGAACCAAACGCATTGAGATCTCAAATGACGAAAACACTACGTTAATGATTCGATAATAGCAAGAGTATCTATGCCCCAGGTCAGGAGTTTTGAAGGAATTGGAAAAGGACTTCCCAATTATTGCAAAGATGAGATTGATCCACCAGCTTATTCCTTTGGGTCTCCTTGCTTTGCATTAAAGAAAATATAAAATTTGAAAAAGTTTAAGGGCAATTTTAAATGGGTGTGGTTTCTATAAGGTTGCAACCTTAAATCATTCAATTAAGACGTACCTCCGAATTACGCACCTCTGAATTTTATCATAATATGTAATTTTAGGGTAAAACATTCTTAGGATTATCTTAAAATCTATTTTTATATCTACTTATGCAATTTTAAACTTCAAAAATGGTTAAAATCAAGTAAATCTATAAACATATGAAGTCTTGAAAGTGGACAGTCTAGATAATGTGTGCAAGATGCACTATTTTTAGGATTCGAAATCTTTTTTTTTTCATATTAACGATATGATCAAGTATAGGGTTTTCAACATTAAAACAACATTTTTCGATGGAATCTTGAGGTACATCCTTTATTATACATTTTAAGATTGCAACCTTATGTAAACTTTTTCCATTTTAAATTACTTCTAATTTTTCAACAATTAACATTTTGTCCTTTTCAACTATTCCTACTCACATTTAGTTAATCTCTCCTATATATTTTGATAAAATGTCAAATAGTAAATCTCTCATATATATTTTGATAAATTTTTTAAAAATTAATAAGTCCATAATATACGTCATCGAGAAGAATTTAGTGTTTGGTCACGTGTGATAGCCTTATAGGACAAGTGCTAATGATTATCGAGGTACTCAAGTTCTGTTTTCAATGACTTTATGGTACCCTTCCCCCTCAAGTTGTTGGATTTGGATTTGGATGCCCATATGACCGTTTTGCATTAATTAATCATTGTTAATTATTCAAAATTTTCTTTGGTCTATTCTTATGGTGCCCTTAGCTCATATGGTCGAATTTTAAGTCTTTTTTTTTTAAGTATAATAAAGGCGGACAAAGGTATTTCTAGTTTTGATTCTTAGTTGGAATTTTGTGTTGCAAATTTGGATGTTTCTTAGAAAATTTGCAAGAAAAATAGCTTAAAATCCATTGAGTTGGATGACGCAAGTTCTTTCAACTTTACATTTTTTATTCCAAGATTTAAGTACGTGAAGTTGTTAAATTTATTTTACAATCTCAATATTAAATTTATTTTACAAACACAATTATAGGAAAACAAAATGCAAAGTTGAAATACAAAGGAGAAGGAAATGTCTTTTTTTTTTGTGGAAATTATCATAAATATACTTTAATTTTCATCTAATTAGGAAAAAAAATACCCTCAACTTACCATTTTCCCTCAATTTTGGCATTTTTTTAATTAAAATAATCTTCATGGTAATCGTATCGTAATGACCAGTGCTCGCAAAATCGAATCGGAACGGTTAATTGGATATGGGGCTGAACGCGGTTTAACTAGCTTAGTCGTTAAATCGGCCGATTCAACTATTTTAACGGGGCAAATCCCGAGTAGTCAAAAATTTGTTGAAAAAAACTACTAAATGTGAAAAAAAAATAAAGAATGATTAAAACAAAAAACATTCAAATGAAATTGAAAATTAATGAAAAAATGGATTTTAAAGGATCGATTTGTGCCTAAGGGTATTTTAAAATTTTTCGAAAAAGATGGGAAAATATAAAAATGAGTAAAAACAATTTATAATCTTTGTCATAATGTAAAGAATATTAAAAATGTATTTCAAACCAAATTCCTTATTTTTGGGATTTTATATATATTTTTGGGATTTTATGTATATTTGTTAAATAATTTTTTTAAATACCGGTCGATCACCAAAATTGCCTGAAATCCAATCTAACTAGGTGATTACCGGTTAGATCACCCGATTTTTCCAACATGGGTATTGAATTCCACATTACGGTACTTTAATTACTGTAATGACTAAGCTAAGCATTACAGTACTTTAAGTACCGTAATGACCAGGCTAAGCATTACGGTACATTAAATACCGTAATGCTCAAATTTCCAGCAGTTTTCCAGTAGTGAACTGAGATCGCTCTCTCGAGAACCTTGGTCAAGAAAAAGGGCAGGTATCCAACTAGTGAGAGAGGAATTTTGGATGTGAGGTGGGGACCAACCTCATCTGGGTTCGTGACGTACTCGGGCTGACTCGCGTAGGTGCTCTCTTAGATCACGACGGAATGCCCCCTAGTTGCTTCAGCTGGTTCGAAATCGCCTCCCTTGACCTACAATCTCCTTATTTTCTGCACAACACTACTACGGTTAATTTGCAAGACAAGTGGGCTGAAAGACCCACCCTTGTCTTAGGGCAACACACATTCGTATGGCTAAGAATGTGAGAAGTTAGGGTGATGAAGTGGAAGGTTTGAATGAAAGGAGAAAAGGAGAGGGTACTCGATAAGGGGACGAGGCTAGCATGATAGCTGGACTAGTGCAATGATCGACTCGGAGTTGGTAGCAAGAAGGGCACAGTACTTTGGACAGGCGCGACAGTAATACTACTCGAAACCAAGGTCGACATGACTGTCCTAATCTGGGGTGGTAGCAAGATGAGCATGGTGCTTGAGACTAACACGATGACAATACTGTTCGACAGCCAGACCGATATGACAACACTAGACTAAGTCCACCCTCGTTTAAGTGAGAAGAGGATGAAGAAAATGCACTAAACGACGAAGAGATGGCGTCCTGACGGTGCCAAGCGTCACCACCCATAACCATGGAGTAGCAGTGCCACGACCCTTGGATGGCGTTAGACACTACTGCTCGCAACTAGAGGGCGAGCAGTGAACTACGTGCAACGTTAGGCATCATCGTTGGGGACACACAGGAAGGCAGCACACCCTTGCGCGGGTGGCAATAGCCTCTTGTGAAGCGTGCGACAATAGCCATTTGCAAGGCACGCGGTGATAGTTCTTGCCAAGGCACACGACAATGGGCATGGGACGCAAGAAGAGCCTGCGCACGACGATAGCCACCAAGTGCACGAAGAAGGCTCGCAGACGGTGATAGGCATTGAGCGTGTGAAGGAAGCTCGAGGACAGCAATAGGCACCAAGCGCGCAAAGGAAGCTCGTGGACGGCGATAGGCACCGAGCGCATGAAGGAAGCTCATGGACGACGATAAGCACTAAGCGCAAGAAGGAAGTTCGTGGACGGTGATAGGTATCACCGTCTGCGATAGGCACGCAATAGGGGGAGACCCCTGCAGGTGGCAATAAGTTTTACCGTCTATGTTTTTCATTGAGGCATCAAGGATACATCTGCAGATGGCGATGAGCAGTGCCATTTGCAAGCCTCGTTGAGAGATAGAGCTGAACTAACAGAAGGGGGAAAGGAGCTCGCGCATGGCGCTGCCATTGCCATGTGTGACTTATGAAACCACAGGAAGGGGAAAAAGAAAAGAAAGAGGCATGCATGGAACTGCCACTGCCATGCATGGCCTCTGAGGGTGGCTCAGACAAAGAAAAAGAAGAAGAACAAAGAAAAGAAGAGAGAGAAGATTTACTTTGAGCCTAGGGGTACCGTTCGAAAATTTTCTCTCTCCTTACTCTCTCTCCAAACGTGACCCAACAATGAGAAGGAAAGGGAATTCTATTAAGTAAAAATTCTCTTTGGTGAAGGGTT